ACATGGAAATTGTAGATCTCGTCGTCCTCTACAAGAAAGGTCCTATGCAATTTTGCCGTAGGTCCAACGGTTTGGGAGTTATTGGCCAAAAACGAAAATTTGGAAAAAATTGAAGGGGTATCCCTTGGAAAAATCTCGGAAAAATCGAAAATTTTTTTTTGTTGTTTATTATTAGCAATGTTCTTCCGACGTCTGATCTCTTTTTAAAAAAGTGCGTTTTTAAAGTGCATAAACTTTTGGGATTGACTGTAGAGCCAATACATCCTTAAACGCTCCGTGTAAAAATTCTATTTCAGTAATGAGATCAACGTAATGATACATAGCGGGTATGTACCCATTCCTTCCAACATTTATCATACTGTCATACTAATATGAACAGTTTAAGTGTGTTCGAATTCGTTTCGATCAACTATATTGTAGATCGTGGTGATATCACGAATCGTTGATAATATTACTTCCCCGATAAGTATAGATCCCCACGCGGCCTAGATAGTATTAAAATGGTGAATGCTTATGTATTTAAAGAGATAAATCTAATCCTGTCTCCATGAACTACTTCTGTAGATACCTTAATTTAAATTTAGCGAACACGGGTGTTATTTAATAACAATATTCTGTTTATAAATTTCTCTCCTTCTGAACTTATTTTTTATGTGATAAGCATTTTTTCGCTCGGACATGCTTGTAGAAACTAGACGACGTTCGCGGCACACAAACGAGAGAGACCGCTCACGGTTCACGCTCGCGGTGTGTCAATATTAACAAGCTTCTGCCGAGCATCTTATCTTCGTCGTGGACAACGAAATGCATCGTTCGCATATCGCTTTTCAATACTCGGACTACGATCTATCGTATGCATTCGTTCACTTTGTATTCTGATATTCGAGAACTCCCGGGAGTATCGAGAATTGTTTTATCTCGTTTTACCGTTGACCGTTTATCTCCGCATAATTAGATGCGATCAATTTCAAATCGAGATAGCATTCTAATAAATAAACCAATTTCGCAGGTCACGTGTTTCCCTCGGGTTTATCTGATTATCCTAATTCACGATTCGTTACAAAAATACGAAAATTATTTCATGTATCGGAAATTCTATATTGCTAAATCCGGTTGGAGTGGAAATCGGAAGGACAGGACGCGTAATTCGGCGAGACGAATACGTTGGTTCCGACTTAAACACCGCGAAAAATCGCCGAAATCGTCATCATCTGGCGCCATTCAGGGACCGAGCAAACCGTATACACGTGCGTCGCGGCATGCACACGCACGCGTAACAGAGAAGCTGGTACACGTGCCACGCACCCTTGCACAGGTACACGCACGTAATACCGAGCCGAGACGCGCGGAGTTCCCTTCTAACGCTCACACGTGAATGGGAAAGAGGTACTCGTGGCCAGAAAAAAAGAGGCATCAACCAGATCTCGTGTGTGCGTGAACGTTGGCCAGCGTTTATCCATGTACGCGCGAGGTGAGTCGCGTTGCATACCGCGTACTCTTTAAACGCGCGTGTGCACGGAGTTTCACTGTATGCAGCAGCATATGTGGCGTGCCTCTGCAACCTTTATTCGACGCGGCTGCAGTTTTACCTCCTACACGTTTTTGTCGCGAATCGCGCGCATACTCTGTGTGTAAAGCCACGTTGCTGGCACGTACATGCCACTTTCCCTTTTCAAAATCGATTTTGGCGCCGTGCGCCCCGACGGCTCAGTCAACGACGTCGACGCTCCTCCGACCAGGGCTGTGTACAGTCTGCCGAGCACCACTCCTTAGAGAACGTCATTTTTTATTTTAATTCAGCAGTCGAGTATATCGATCGAACTTAAGCGACGCGTATTTCGTTCTATTAAATTTATACGTCTCATAATTTAGAACGTTGAAAACGAATAGAACTTGAAAAGACGATTATTAACAATTAACAAGCGCATAGGTGATAATTAAATCGGGCATCGCGAATCACGGATACGATCAGGGGAAGCCCATGAAGAGTAGTAATTGGATCATCGCGAGGGATGATTACACTGTGCAGTTCCCGGCGCATCTCCAAAAAAAAAAAAAGAAACCGGCACACGCGCCCGCGTGCACGCTAATTACCCCCGCGTAAATATGTTCCATTTTTACGCGACTACCGACGCGTAACGAGTCCCAATTCCCTTCACAATTAACTGCACCGCATTACGACCCTCGAACTTTTCGTCAACTACCCCTTCTCTGCCGCTCCTCCGACCCCTTGTCCCCTCGTCCCGCTTTCGGCCATTGGCTTCTTCTGGAAGAGCGACCGTCCGAGTCTACCGGCTTGTTAAACATAAAAAAAAGGAAGAGCTGGGCAGAAAAGAAAAAGAGAGTCCGAAAAAAGGTGTCTTAGGCGAGATCAAAAGCTCTTCCACGGGGGTGACCCGTGGTCTGCGGTCGTCGCGCGTCCATCCCTGTCGGTATGTGCCTCGGGCTCAGAAAAGGCTCTCCTCCCGTTCTCCGTCTCTCTCCTTCTCCATCTTTTCCTACCCCGGCCCGCCGCTCCGTCTCTGTCTGCTCTTCCGCTCTTTCCGCGTGTCTCTTCCTGTCTCCGTCGCGCCACCGGGCGCGTACGAAAATACCGCCTTTCGTTAAAGGTGAACGGACGAAATCGCGAGTTACACGTGCGTGCAAGATCCGAGCGACGAGGGTGATGCGTCGGCGGGTGTGCAGGACGGAGGAGGTACCAGCGGGAGAGACGGGGCAGAGGCCGGTGGTCAGGAAGGGTAGCGAGGGAAAGAGGCGTAAAAAGGGTTGAGGGCGGAGGTGGTGGCGGCGGTGCGGTGTGCGCCGGTGGGCTACTCTAGCTCGGTTGCTCGTCGTAAAGTAGTGGGGGATTTGTGCCGGCGGAGGAGACGAACCGCGAGCTAGACGAAACCGGCGATATCAACGTTTCCCTCGCGCACTACCGCATACACCTCACACTACCGCCGGGTGCCGCCGAAAATCCCCAAAAGCACACGAAACAAAGGCTTTCCTCCACGCTAACCCTCGCTGCCAGGCCCCGGGCCGCCGAACTCGCTCCAGCTATCCGTTCTCCACCCCCGCTTTTGCGCGGTTCTCACTGGAACCCCGTAACCCGTACCGATACACGCGTACGACTCTCGTACGTACGAACAGGTATAACATCGACTTTCCCCGGTCGAACGTGTCGTGCTTTCTCTCTGTAGGCGTGAGCACGTGTCGAAGATTTTGCTTCGTCGAGTCTTGGGTCTCGATACGTAATTGAGAAAGAGACAAGCTATGGCGCTCTACCTGTCTCCGACCCACGGTAATCGTTTGATCAAGTTTTTTTGGGAAGTGAAATAAGTTCCGTTACTCTCTTCTGTCGCTCTTTCGTCTCTTATACGGCTGCTATACGCGATCGTCCATGAAGATTCTTCATCCGATCATCCAATTTATCATTAACCATTTTTCATTTATCGTTAATATTTCATCAGCACCGGAAAAGTTGTGGAACTTTACGGTATAATAGCGCGTCAAACGAAACAGAGCTTCCGGGTGGTAAATTGGCTGGAAAATGAATTGCAAGGAACGCTGCGATTGTTATTTTATAATTTGCGCCCTCGACTGCGATTATCCCTATCTTCATCGGACTGTAATAATTGGCCGAGCACGAGCTAGGTCGGTCGGTACGTTTTCTTCAAGGTTAGTCGAAAGCCCCGACGCTGAGTGGGTCGGTGAGCTGAAAAATCGATACGTACGAAAGTGAGAGTCTCAGCCGTTCCACCCTCCTTTTTCTTCTTTACGTACCGCGTCCTCTTCTTACTTGCCATTTGATTCATTCATGTTGCGTCGTACAGGGCCGTGGCTCGATTCCGATTTCGCGGTTTTCGACTGCATAAGATCACCCTTCCGATGTTCGATCGAGGCACTGCACGAATCTCTTTAAAAGAGAATCGGCTAATATCCGTAAGAACGAATCTACCAGGTTTTGTAAATGTAAATTATGTTAGGGTGATTCATTTAAAATGTTTTTACACGCAGTTTACAAGCGTTAGTCACTCGTTAATAATAATTCATCAAAAGATACGATGCTGAATGTCTACGTTTATTACATGCGCATGATTACGCTCCGTTTTGTGAGGGATCTTGTTTAAAGAAAGAAACGGTTCGAAGACGCGCATTTGGCATTTCGAATGGGGTACACTGGAGTTTGTTTTTGATTCGCGATGCCTTTCATGTCGGGTTTGTCCCCTACAGAGGGAGAGAAATAAATTCGACGGCGAGATGTGAAACGGAAGAAAGAAAGAGGAGATGTCAACAGGGGTATCCGCACATGTGGGATGTTTACTACGAAAACAGCGAGAATGGATATGTGCGTTTGATAGACTCGCAATTTGAAATGTTCGAAGATATCACTCCATTGTCTCCAATTAAACAACTGAGTTCTCGAAGAACATTTCCATCAATTAATTGGAATCTCGAAATGTAGATATAAATCGGGTGCATTTGATCTCAGATTGAATCACTGAGATTAATGGAGTTCCTGGGAATTCTTACAGTGATTCACGATCTATTTCGTAATGCTCGAGTTACAATCCTATTTCACAATTACGCAAACTGATTTCTAGATGAGGTGAAACACATCGCACATTGAAATGCAATTTTTAACACTATTTTTTATGTTGGCGAGGTCGCAAATTGAGAATCAGTAAACACACTTGTAGAGTACTTGTCAACGTATGAGTCATTATACGCGTAGTTTATCCTCGACAAATTGTTTTTTGTCTACCAGATACCTATCTCTTTGACAATTCGAAACCGATATGCAAAGATGTTCTTGACCCACATCTTGCAATACACACCGCGTAATTCCCAGTATTTTTATCCCATGAAATTGTTGTCACATAATATTATAATTTCTGCGAGGACGGAAACAATTGTTTCATATTATCTAGTATTTGTCGATTTGGTGCAATCTATTTTTCCTTTAAATCCATGTCTGCCCGACGCTTACTAATTTAGAACTCTGATTTTTATTACAGTGGTGCCGGATCTAAGGTTGTCGTTAGTAATTTCCCAGCTCAAGCCAGATTAGAGGACCTCGAAGCGCTGTTCGCGAACTGCGGCCAAGTCCAGTCAGTGGAGAAATTGTCCTCGCGCGACCCCAACACACAAACCGTCCTTGTTAGCTATGAAGCGCAGGAGCAAGCGCAACAGTAAGTTGAAGTTTCTTCGCTATTGATGGTCAATTTAATAGACAATAAGCGTTTATGGAATGCTATGCCCAAATTTATCCCGGTATCTGAGAATCACGTTGTCATTTACAGGGCTGTGAACCAATTTAATGGACACGAGTACGAGGGTAGTCCTCTAAAAGTGGAAATGTCTACGGCGGAGAGCCGACGAAGAGGCCGCAGCCAGCGCAGCGGCGTCGCTTATTCCGGGGTTTCGGGATCCGGACGACAGGCCGACTTCCCGCTCCGTATTCTCGTGCATTCGGACATGGTCGGTGCTATAATCGGTCGTCAGGGATCGACCATACGTCAGATCACCCAGATGACTCGCGCGAGGGTGGACGTCCACCGAAAAGACAGTCTTGGCGCCGCGGAAAAAGCCATCACGATCTATGGCAATCCCGAGAACTGTACGAACGCCTGTAAGAAAATCATGGAGGTCACGCAGCAGGAGGCTTACGGCTTGAGTAAAGGGTAAGGATGAGAGAGACCTCGATTTAACGCACTACCATGCGTATGCGTGTACGACGAATATTTTCAAAAGGAAACGCAATACTTTCTTTTCAATCGATCGGCGTTAATTTAATTTGTCGTTCCGTGTGTCAACAGCGAAATCTCACTGAGGATCCTTGCGCACAATAATTTGATCGGACGGATAATCGGAAAGGGTGGCACTACGATTAAGAAAATTATGCAGGACACAGATACGAAGATCACCGTGAGCAGTATCAATGACATTAACAATTTCAATCTCGAACGCATTATCACAGTCAAAGGCACCATCGATAACATGAGCAAAGCTGAATCTATGATCTCTAATAAACTACGCCAAAGTTACGAGAATGACTTGCAAGCGATGGCTGTAAGTATTAACAGTCTTCTTCATTCAAACTATACCTTCTACTCTTAACGCGTGTAATCATATTTTATTAATTTGGAATGAAATTACAGCCTCAAAGCATGATGTTCCCTGGTTTGCACCCAATGGCCATGATGTCTACTGCTGGTATGGGATACAGCTCGCGTGGTCCCGGTCTATATGGCTCGGGCCCAGCTCCATATCCCTACCAAGCCAGTCTGCCGACTCAACAGGGTATTCCGATCGGCGACACCCAAGAGACTGCCTTCCTTTACATTCCGAACACTAGCGTAGGTGCCATTATCGGAAGCAAGGGTTCGCATATCAGAAATATCATCAGATTCTCTGGCGCCAGCGTGAAAATCGCGCCGATCGAACAGGACAAACCCGTGGAGCAACAAAATGAAAGAAAAGTGACTATTGTTGGATCGCCAGAGTCTCAGTGGAAGGTAAATACTATTGCAGATAGTTTATCTTTTGATTCCTTTTTATGATTACTTTACGACTCACGATCAGTTTACGAAGATGTATGTAAGAAACTATCATTCACAAGTGATAGCCACCTCCTGGCTAAGTGACTTAAGTATCAGTATACAAACCTTCGAGGTTCCGTGTTCAAATCTCGATACTTTGCATAAGTTCTTATTACTCGTTTTTATCCTTTAATATGCACAAAGAGATATAGCCTGCTCCGTTTGGGATGATGTTGTCTCCGAAGCATTGATCTTGAAGGAGTAGGAACAGTAAAATGAAGGGTATACCCGTACCAATGACATGCTCCATAAATGCGTGTCTAGTTGGTCCCGTTACAACCTTCGACACTTATTTTTTTATGAATGATAAAGTAGATATAAGCATGCTCTGTCAAATTTTACATAAGACTGACTTCTTTTCTAGGCTCAATACTTAATTTTTGAGAAGATGCGCGAGGAAGGATTTGTGGCCGGCACCGAGGACGTACGATTGACAATCGAGATTCTCGTACCGAGTACTCAAGTTGGCCGGATCATTGGAAAAGGTGGACAGAATGTTAGAGAATTGCAACGTGTTACCGGAAGTATCATAAAGCTATCGGAGCAGCAATCTACGTCCCCTTCCGCCGACGAGGAGGCCACCGTCCAAATAATTGGTCCCTTCTTCTCTGTTCAGGTATCTCATTGTTCCCATTAAGTACCACAGCTTAATGTCACCGGCGGGTGATCAACCCGACAAATAATGTACATCAATTTTAATTCTTGCTTGTCTTGTGTCTCGTTCGCAGTCGGCACAGAGAAGAATTCGCGCTATGGTTCTACAGTCGTCTGGTGCACCTGGTGCAGGTGTTGCTGGCTCACGCGCTGGTCGTGGTAGCAGCCAAGACGCTGGTTCCCGTTCGCGAAGAGACGGCAGTGCTACGTCTCAACCGGGCGGCGTAGCACCAACGCAACAGCAACAACACTCGGCTCAGCAACAATCGAGCACCTCGCCATCCAGCCAGCAGCAGCAGCAGCAACAGCAGCAGCAGCAGCAGCAGCCTCAAAATCAGTAACGTCACTGAAAACTTACCTGACGCCGACCAACGCCTCACGTGAAAATCCGTTTTAATCGCCGGGGTGGCCTCGTCGCTTTGACATTCTCTCGTAAAGAGGCTACGTGCAACTTCCTTCTCGCGGATTATGTATCCTGATGTGTACGATACGAGAGAACACATCACGAAAGAAGTTATCCGTATCAAAATGCTACACGCGTAATAGTATTTAACATCCATTCAAAATCATTCGAATTCGTTCCAAGTCGGACACGATCGATGGTGTTTCTTTTACTTTTTCGCTTCGATTCGTGTATGCCAATGTATTCGTCCTATTTTGTTGCAATTTTTGGAGAACGTAGAGAAATATAGTACGTGGTTTTGTTTTCTTTTTCTTTTAGACGTGTTTTTTGTAGCGGAATGGCCGATAAATTATATATCATTGTTAAATTGTTACCATCGATCGTGACGCCCGGCTTGCGTCGTATTTCATTTGACAACGAGCGAAACGGCTTCGGATAACGTCTGAGGTAAAAGTGATGCGGTATACCGCGTTCAATCAAACGGGGTAGTGCACGTCAGCTAGTGCTTCACGCGCGTCGAAGTGAGACTAAATTGTTCGATTCCTGCTCGCTCGAAACGGGTAACATTATATAATCGACTCTTCCGCATCGAAGAGATATACGTACAAAGATCGTTTTCTCACTTCTTCCGCGCCTGTCGCTACAGATGTTTACATGTTGCGGGTTCGCGTATAATGCAGAAGTTAAAGCGACGGGTGACACTCGAACGAATTGATTTCGCGCAGCGTTAACGGAAAACCACCTCGTCGATGAAATAGGATATATGATGATAAGAAAAAAAAAATAAGCATACACAACCTTATTACCTCATTCATTACGGTTAAAGATTTAAATAATGATAATGAAAAGTGAAACGAGAGAAAGGATAAAAACCAACTAATCTAAAAAAAAGAAGTCTACCTAATATTAAAGTTATAATAATATACAGAGAGCATTAAGTAACGATTACACAATTACGTTATACATGTTACTACTACAACTACTACTATGCTACTATTACTACTGCTATTAACTACTACTTATTTCTACTAAGTACTCTATACAGGAAGGCGGTTTATCTTTTTTTTTAAAAAAAGAGAAACTACTCTAGGTACATTTTTTTTATACCACAACGCAGAGAGCCGATTAATTAACAAGACTTAATTATTGAAAAGAAAAATGAGATGTAAGAACGATACGCGACACGTATAGAACGTAAGCCGCAACCAAGTTTCTTCATGGCTCACGCCCCTCTCGCGCCTGCAATACCAAAGAAGCGATTATGAGTTTTTTCGTATTTAGTGAAGTGAAAACGCGTGACACACATTGAGGAAGATGTGTGCCGGGCGCTCTACTCGCCTCAAGTTCCTTGCAAAGAGCTAAGAAGAAGAGCGAGAGGGGGGCTGGTCGCGAATATAACGGAGAAGAGAGAGACACGAGTCGCGTCTACGGGGAATCGACGAGTGGTTATTGACGTCGGCAACGACAGAATGGAAAGACGAAACCACGGAGAGCGACATCCTTTGTCATCGAGTCGCTTTTCGTGAAAAGTGATCGGAATGAGGAAATACGTATAATAAATCAAGAGACGTTCCTAGGGAGCGAGAGTCAAAATACAAAAGATGAAAACCGTTTGATGTTGCACATGAAACGGACGCTGTTTCGTGTTGCGAGAAGGATGTTCCAAAAAGAGATAGAGAGAATGAAAAAGCGACATCGCTACGCATGAGAAAGCGAAGTTGAGGGGACAGAAGAATTTACAAGATGAAGAAGTTTAAAAGGGACGTGAGAAGAGCAAAAAGATGAGAAAAACAAAAACAAAACTTTTACAAGGATTTTTACTTTGTCGTGGATGTAATAGTGTGTGAGTGTGCGTGTGTTGAATAATACTATTAATTGATAAGTAATTAATTACTGGTTAGGTATATACGGCAAGGAAGGCGCCAGAAAAGGTAGATATTTAGGATAATCGAGAGAAACGAAAAGAAACGCTAGGCAAGAGGAGGAGAAAGGTGAAAAGTGCTAAAGGTCGAAGAGCGATGCGTACGTCGACGAGAAAATGGGCATCGTTAATTATTAATTTTTCGTATCGTTCTTCGCCTCGTTGGTACGAGCGTGAATATCGTCCTGCGAGTTACTATTATCAAAACGACAATCGAACGCGCGCGCGGATTTTATGAAAACTACATCTTCCGACGATCGTTGTAAATTCTGTAATTTTTTTTCTCTATATTTTTCTTGTTTTAATATATAGGGTATATATAGTCGTAATACAGTTAGGATAGTGGATATTATATTGAAACGCGTTACGAATTCGTTCGTAGAAACTCGCAGCGGTATCGCGTCTCCGGCCCGGCGCGTACTATCGATCACGATGATTCTATCGATTTTCTTCGCACGGGGGGAATTGACCTTTTCGATGCTACAAGAAAGTTTCGACCTCGACTTTTCTATCTGTAATATCTAACGCGATCGATCTTTCTGTTCCGAGTGAAAACGCTTCTCACTCGAACCGCAAAAAAGATAATATCAACGTGTCAGATGGAAATCCAAATTTTTTATATATCTAACGTGTCGTTATTACCTTTTTCGTAGTTCGAGCAGAGAGCATTTCCAGTCGAAACATAAAGATAGATCGTGTAAGAGATTTCAGATAGAGAATTCGGGAGAAGACTGGTGGTCTAGGACTATGAGCGAGGAAGTGAAAATTCACTTAGACTTAAACAAGACTCGAAGTGGAAGAAATCTTAACCGAACGGGCTGACCCCGTCTCGGTAATTGATAAAACATGACCAAGAAGGAGTGATAAAGTAACGGACTGACGAAACCGCGCGATTATGTGCCACGAACGGAGCTCGCGAAGATCGTTGAATCTCTCCTGTTTGATTCCAAGTAATTAACGTCCATGAACGCGTCAAGCGTAGGATATCTTCGGTGTTCCCGTGTTTCATCCATCTGTGAACCCTGACACGGTCAATGGTAAAGGCCGGAAATTTGTCCACTGATCCAAGGTTTTTTCATCGGTTAATTACTTTTTCTCAAAATCTCGTGGCACGTTATCGACGCTCAACTGAGTACGTTGAACCCCCGTTGTCCAGGGTTCGCGTGCGACGACCACGACGACGATCCCTTCCGGTTCACGGAGTTGATCGGGAGATCGGGTCGTCGACCGTCGGTTCACCTCACGGCATTTGGTATGCGTTTAGTACAAAAATACACGAGTTTAAAAGTGGGTAGAAGGGAATCCAGTTCTACGGAAAAACGTGTACGTGTTCAGCAGGAGGGAGAACGTACGTCGCGTAGTAGGATTTTCGTTTATCGCGAGAAAGAGAGCGGGGGGGGGGGGAGAAAACGCGAAAAAGGAAACGGGACTTCTGTTGAGTGTGCGCGCGAGTATCATCGTTGAGTACAGTGAAAAATCGGGCGATGGAAAAATACGTGTAGGCAGGGGAACGGCGGATGGGCGGAAGCGTGGCGAGGCTGCGTGTATTCCGCTCTCTCGCCTTTTTTCCCCTTTTCGTTGCGTCTCAAGGAGGAATACCAGAACGACTAGAGAAAAGAGATTGGAAAATGGGAAGCGTAATGGATGAAGGAAAATCGACCGAACATGGAAGCATACGAAGGAAAAGAGGAAACGAAGACGGGTAGAGATTAGAAACGAATGAAGAGAATGACGTGAGAAAAGAGAAAATGAATCTAAGAGTGATAAGTTTATTTTTGATACATTGTTGGGGAGATCTAAGTGAATCTTTCTTTTTCAATTTTTTTGTTAGATGTTTTTAATAACTTAATGAATTTTAATGATATGAATAATAATAAAACGATGCGAGGCGTGAAGAGGGAGGGCGAAGACATTTTTAAATAGAGATATAAGAGGAAGATGGTATTAGAGGAGAAGAAGCGAGGCGAAGTGTTTTTCGTACAAAAGGGTAACTTAAAGAGTAAAAAAAAAAGGAGAATGAGGTGGAAGTAAGGAGATAGAAGAAGAGGAGGTAAAATAAAAAAATGTAATGAGAGATTTAAAGAGGGCACGGCGCGCAGCTTTTTGCGCTGTGCGCGTCTGTCGCCCGCCGGGGGATGAATAAAAGAGATTTTAGTCGGATAAATTGTATAATATATTTAATATATTCGGAGATGAACGGTGGCCTCAGGTCCGCTCGGCGAGGAAACGTCACCTTCGTTGGCCGGCGACAAAGGCGATCGCGCTCACAGTTTTATGTGACGCGATTTTCGTCGTTGTCGCTACCACGGAAGCCTTTCCCCGCCAGCAGGCCTTCGCTTCCGCGTTTATTTATCATGCGTAAATATTTAAAGAGACAAAAGTGAAATAACATTTTATAAAAAAAAGAAGAAGAAGAAAATGAAGAAGGATAATGCAGAGAAAAGTGATGAAAGTGCCAAGGAACCATAATACACAGTAACGAAAACACCGCAAACTGTTTCACAAGGGTACCACGTAAAACCAATAAATTCAAGGGAAGATGCAACAGAAAAACCGACAACAAGATTCAACAGAGGAAAACTCGCTTTACTACCTAAATCATTTACGCTAGTTCGAGATCACTTTTTCTTGGAACAAAATTAATGGCAAGGAAACACGTTCGAAATTAATTACATATTTTTTCGGTCAAAAAAAAAAGGAAACGAATCAAAATTGAAATATTAGTAAGAATGATAGAAATTAAAATGTACAGAGAGAAGCACGACGCAAATGAGAGATACCAATCGCTCTTTTCACAGAATTTCGTTGTCGCGCATAAAAAAATATCTCGCCGACGACGAAAGCCATCGCCCCCACCCCCTTTTCGGAATATCTCTTTATGAACGAACACGAAAGCAACCGCAAAAATTGAAGTTCGTTGTCCATATCTGCCGCGCACAAGTTTTACACTTTTCCCTCGTTCATCGATCTTTGATTCATTTTTTCGTTGCGCATACTTTCGGAAAGTAAAATTCGGAGAAAAAGAATCTGCATCAACGACAAAAAGGAGAAACCCGGAGATTCGGTAGTATATAGTAAGACAAAAAGAAGACGTTCTTTGACAGTGATGAAAGTGCCAAGGAACCATAATACACAGTAACGAAAACACCGCAAACTGTTTCACAAGGGTACCACGTAAAACCAATAAATTCAAGGGAAGATGCAACAGAAAAACCGACAACAAGATTCAACAGAGGAAAACTCGCTTTACTACCTAAATCATTTACGCTAGTTCGAGATCACTTTTTCTTGGAACAAAATTAATGGCAAGGAAACACGTTCGAAATTAATTACATATTTTTTCGGTCAAAAAAAAAAGGAAACGAATCAAAATTGAAATATTAGTAAGAATGATAGAAATTAAAATGTACAGAGAGAAGCACGACGCAAATGAGAGATACCAATCGCTCTTTTCACAGAATTTCGTTGTCGCGCATAAAAAAATATCTCGCCGACGACGAAAGCCATCGCCCCCACCCCCTTTTCGGAATATCTCTTTATGAACGAACACGAAAGCAACCGCAAAAATTGAAGTTCGTTGTCCATATCTGCCGCGCACAAGTTTTACACTTTTCCCTCGTTCATCGATCTTTGATTCATTTTTTCGTTGCGCATACTTTCGGAAAGTAAAATTCGGAGAAAAAGAATCTGCATCAACGACAAAAAGGAGAAACCCGGAGATTCGGTAGTATATAGTAAGACAAAAAGAAGACGTTCTTTGACTTCGTTGCTCGCCTACAGTTCTCACAGTCTACCATGCTGACCAAGGGATTCAAGAAATTCAGGATAAAAAAAACTCAAGAATCGGTCACGATGATCTGGGAATAATTCTGAACGCCACGAGGAAATACATGCATAACGATCGGAAGAAAAGAGGTGAAAGTTGTTTTTTTCGGCCGATTCCTCAGCACAGCACTTCTCAAAATGCCACGAAGGAAGTGAAAGAGAGACGATAGGGATTTGGAGAGAATTCGAGACAAAATATAAAACCCCGCTCGCACGCTCGGGAGAATGTACAAATCAAAGTAACAAAAAGAAAATGAAAAAAAAAAATGAAGATGAAGATTGAATAGAAATTATTAATATAAATAATGATAACTTAAAAAGAGAGAAGATTTTTAACGTTATAAATTATTAATGCGAGGAGTAACTTAATCTACTACTGGTTAAGGATACCAACAAAAAACGAATGTACAAAATCGATTTATCTCTAAATTTAAATGTTAGTATTCTAGAATATTTTACCGTGAGAAAATCGTGCTTATCAATCTAGAATTGAAGGGAGTTAAAATTAAGCTCATCGCCTAAGTTAAGGTTTTGCATATTTCCAGCGAGAAAAGATGAGGGAAACAACAAGATCGTATCAAGCATCGGTTTTCAAACTAACTTTGTCGTAAGGGCAAGTCGATCTTTTTTATCGAAGTATGAAACGTGCGTAACTTCAGAACTATAGCATACAGCAAACACTCGACCACACGAAGATAAGAAACAACCAACAAAAAAAATCATTAGAAAAAAATTAAAAAAAAAAAACGGGAAAGTTTCTTTCTTTCGATACGAACGTCCAATGTCGTCGGCGTATCTCCGACGACGCCTGATAAGCTACATCAACTTTTTATCATCACCTTCTTACTGACCATTTATACGACGAAAATCATCTTTTGTAATTTTTTACGAAACATTTTTCAAATGGAAAGTGCTCTTCCACCTAAGGAACAGAAATCCACGGTAATACACAGCCATACGAAGCGCACAAGTGTACAGAATGCACGCGAGACGAAAATTCACAGGAGAGACCGGCTCGACGATGGACGGACGACGTAAGACCTTTCGCAGAAGCTACGTCGCTGCAGTGTGAAAGAAAGCAAGAAAAAACACGGTGCATACAAGAGGAGAACAACGTTGCGTCTAACGCGTAACTGCTATGCGATTCGCGAGCAAACTTTCAATGATAACGGCAAAGGGAAGGAACGAAGAAAATCTGATTCCGTAGACGAGACGAGAAACCAGATCCTTCACTATCATGCAAAAATTTCGGACCAGGAATCTTCCATTTCCGTACACGTTCTACGTCATCATAGACGGAGCAAAGACACCATCTCTCTTACTGTTCGATCTACCATAATTGGAAACATCGGCATATCCGAGCGATGAATCGATTGGAAAGGCACACGGTACCCATAATCTCGATTGACGAAAACGAAGGACACGCACATTTCCAGCGATCTATATCAAACTGAACGAAAATCGAGGAGGAACAGACTGGTTTACAGATCAAAATTCCTGAGAACTGTCACGCGTATCGGCGTGGTTTCGTGATCCGTAATCGGTCTTCAGAGATCCTTTCAGTTTTGCTTTCAAAGCGCTTCAATCATCCTCAATATCTACGCGACACAGCAACTCGCTTACTCGTAAACTCGGGGGCAAACTTTGAAAAGAAAGACAACGGCAGAAGGTATAGTGACCATACCGTCATTTCCGTTACCTATTTTCTGGCTAATCTGCATTACACACGTCATTCGCCGATGAGAAATGATGATCAGGGTGGCTCGCGCCGATGTCAGTTCAAATGTATTTACGCGTCGCGAAAAACATCGAGAGGATCGTCATCGATAATGCACGATTATATAATGCCATAGGCGTATATAATATATATATCCCCAGACTCGTGTACACGCGGCTCGTCTCGTAGAGTTTTACAATAACCGACAGACGGATCGCACGATCATCAAGCGATTTTTGGGTGGGAAGAAAAGAGACGAGGAAACGCGAGTTCGCGTCGATCCTTCGCCCCCGTCGTTGCGAATAACTTATTATCAAGGTTACAGCAGTTCAGACGTATTTCTTTATCAATAGTAATAATAATATTAATAATAATAATAATAATAATAATAATAATAGTGATAAATGAATAGTAATAGTGGTAAGGGAATATAGGGTTATCGGAAACGGCATCAGCATTGATCATCGCGACATCGACGATTACTATTGTTGTCGTTCACGAAGACGAGATCGCGCGCGCGTATGATGGAAAGAGAACGAGATACAGCAGAAAATTGAGAAGAGCAAAAACTGAACGATATAAAAAAAAAACCGAAGAGTGGTAGATTATTTTGGGCTTTAGTATTAGTATTTCGGAATAGACGGAAATTAAGCGTGACGGTTCGGGTCCTAATACGATCGTGAATGATACAACTGTGGTTGGTATCAAAAGGTACGGAGAGAGACGATAGGAAAATTGTTTGTGAAAACGAGCAATCTTTCTCTAATCTCTCTTTCTCTGTTTTTCTATTAATATCACCGGCGTTCTGATTCAGGATCCTGTTAAAACCCGAACTGTCACAGTCGTTCGTTTCACGTTTTGCTCGCGGGCAAAAAGTTCGCTTTCGAGGCCGATCGACCGGCATCGGTTGGACGTCGTTTCGTCGTTTTGCCCGTCGAACGAGAACGCGAGCCGGACGATGGTCATCTGGAAATGGGAAACGCGAAATCGAATCAGGACTGCTGAATCATATTCCAGACCGAGGAACGGTTCCGAACCGAATACGCGGCGGTAAACGAGGGCCTTATTGTATACAGCTGGGCATTGTTGTTAATGTGACAGGTTCAAGTGATATCGCTAAACAGATAATTATATCGAGTAAGCTTTCTTAGGGCGTGTTACGCGTAATTGGACGACAAATAGGGACGCGAGGAACGGCTGGTGAGAAAGTGAGCGAAAGGGGAGATGACGAGTGAAAGAGAGAGAGCGAAAGAAGACTGGTCGATTGGATAATGATAGGCGGCGAAACATAATCTAATTAGGGTGATCTAAGCAGAGTTAGGAAGCTATAGAGTGAGAGACAGAGGCAGGTTTAACGAATGGTGACGCGTTTTTTTTCGGAGTCTTAATATATTATCTATTATTAATCCTATTGTTGCCAATAATGGGCATTATGAAGAAAACCGCGCGGGTATGTAACTTATTCTCTACACTGCATTTACACTCCCACCCCAAATCCCCCGAATCCCCCCAGAAGAACCCTGTATGCATATATAGTAAACACATTATACACTATACATTTGTTGTACATAGATATATATTATATGTAAAGCTTAAACTTATTAACGAACACAGGTTTAGTCGATGTGTACCGAATAGAAGAAAGGATAATGCAACCCCCGTAAAAATAGCAATTTGCCACGTATGAGTGAAAAGAGCGAATGAAATTTTTATTCTTTTTTTCTCTATTTTTTCCTTCGTCGAGATGAAGCGCTACTACGACGCCACGAGTTGATAAATATGAACAAAAACAGTTGGTTCGCACGGATCGCACAGCGTGTGACGCGCTACCCTGGTAACCGTTCCACCGTCGTCGCTCTCGTCTCGTACCATGACGCGGGAGGTTCAACGATTGTTTCTTTATACGTACGAATCAACATCGAAGATGGACAGTCACGAGAACCGATCGGATTTCTATGAAATACACTGCCCAATAGTGATGTACATAGGATAAACTAGATCGCTAAGAGCGTGACAGGGACAAGCCAATGATCAAACGAAGAAACAGAGTGTAATGGATCGAACTTATTCGTCCCTTAAGCCAGCGTAACGTCGCGTAGATCGAAGAACGAATTACTAATTTTCCGATCGTTCTCGTGTGACAATGCTGATCAGCAATAACGTATGTGTACGTAACCATCTGTGCTAGCTAGAGGTATCGTCACACTGCCAACGAGACGAGACTGCGGCTCGGTGACATATTTTTCGTAATCGTTTTTAAGCGCGACACGCTGAAGAGGAACATATAGAGAGAGAAACGAAGTAGTACATTATCATCGTTGTTATATCGGTGTGCCATCGTTTACGTCGGTGATCTCTCCCACGCGGTCGAGCGGCGATCGGGAATAACATCGAGGAGGAGGAGGAGGTAGAGGTCGGTCGTCGTAAATCGAGACGAGATGAATAATACTAAAACCCAAAATAGCCGGTTCCAAAAAGTTCGACCGATCGAAGATGGTCAAAGACGAGGGACGGAGAGAAGAAGGGCACATTAAGCGAAACAGAGGGACGA